CACTGCCAGGCATCATAACACTGAGATTCAGAGCGAGCTAAGTGTAGAGTGGCTTCGCTTCAATTATTGAAAGAGTGAAGAATATTATATCATTACATAGAAGCATAGTAAGAAAAAAATATTTTAATCATATTGTGGGCACATATAGATGAAGTTGTATGACTAGAATATCATCATCCCTCCTGGATTTTTAAAGTCCCTCAACCATTTGAGTGATGCATGGTCCACCTGAATAGTTTACTTTCAACTATACAGGTACTATTAATAGTGTTTTACAAATACAACAACTGCAGGCAGTTCTTTCTTCATCATACAGAATGTAACTAGCCTATGCAACTGCATGTTCTACTCCACTATGTAACTGTGATAACACTGCTACCATCACACTATCATTATCATTCATATCTAACAAGAACTCACAGTTCTCTTGTGGATATGCCAGCACTAGTGCTTCCACTAAAGCCCACTTTAGAGACTGAATGCTTGCTCACATTCCTCACAACATCTGAAGTGTGTGTCAACTTTAATGAGTGCCAATAGTAGTGTGACTATCTTGGAGAAGTTGGCCACAAACTGACAGCAGTATTACACAAAACTAGTCACAGGTATAGACCAATCTTGCATCAGTGCTATTTTAGCAGAATCTATGGAGATTCCACCTATACACATGATATGATCAAGAAATTACACTGTGCACATTTTCCTTGTTTCAGTTTTAAGTCTGTTGCCACAGACAAATGACAAAACAGAATGGTACCAAAATATTCCTATAAAAGTACAAGCCAGTACCAAATGTTTGAGTATAACTGGAAGGCTTGTACAATTCTGGCAAAGACATAATGAATAATGGGAGTGTGTGAAAACAACTAATAAATCACACCTCAATGCATATATATAGTAACATGCAATAGACTGGATGAAAAAGATTTTATAGACAAACACTTGAAATGTCCATCCTCTGTGACTGAAACAGTTATTAGAAGCCTTCGATCTTGAAATAAAATAAAAGATGAACATTTGACAACTGAATACCTATAATACGTTCTTTTTCTAAAACAAAAATACAAATCAAAGTCCACAAAGAAATGACTAGGAACACTTATACAGTTTTTTTTTATTTGTGTGAACAATAATTAACCTCTTGATCCAGAGCAGAATTTTTGAAAGAATCAACTGTAAAAAGAAACAAGTGTGAAAGGGAGATGCTGAAACTGAAGGGACAATCTATATTAGAATCCAAAAACAAAAAATAGAAACAAGTGTGAAAAGGGAGATACTGAAACTGAAGGGACAATCTATATTAGAACCCAAAGCTTTGATAAAAAGAAAGACTGCATCTGTACAAATAATTAAGTATCCCCCACCAGATCATAAGCATAGAAGTTGTAACAGCAGAACAAATAGGAAGCATGATTTACAAAAGGTTCCAGCACAAATTCCATAAAGAGGAGTACTAACAGAAAGGGGGTAACTCTCAACTCTTGTAAATAGATTTGCACATGGGAAGAAAGGTTATGAGGAAAAATTAGCATATAAATCACCCAAACAGTAAGATCTTCTAAAACTGGAAAAGTTGACTCATAAGAAATGGATAAGCAGATTACAATAAACTGAAGGTCTAACAATTAAAACCAAAAAACTTTGGTGGAATACCTTTAAAAAAACAACTTGCATAAGAAGTAGAAACAACTTCAGAAATTAAAAAAGAAATATTATGAAAAGTATGTATAAAAGTATAACAAAATAAAAACCCAGAAAAAGAGTTGAAGAAAGTAAGACAAAAAAAGTAACCATGACAAAGAAACTCAAAAGAAGTATTGATACACTACTGAAGATAAAATAACAATGTATGGAGATGGATGAAAGTTACTCCCATTCCTGAATTTGCACAAATATGTAAGTCAGAAAGCTTTTTAATGGACTTATAATATATCAGATTCCCATAAGTAACAAACAGAAAATGACATCACAATTAAAAAGTGCAAACTGGAGAGTCAAAATCTTGCATTTCCAAAGTGAGACTAAATGTTAGAACTGTGACTTATTTAAGACAGTCACTTTGTTAATTAATTTCTAGAAGATATGGAAATGTAATACTTTTTTTGTTCTCATTATAAACTTTCACAGAAGATTGTTTTGTATCAATTATTTGTACTTTAGTAAATCATCACGTTTTATGTCTCAATAACTGTAAGTCATCATCTACAATGAAGTTTCATTTGTGTTCAATTAAGAGTGTTTGCTCTTAAGATGGTACTAGCAACTGGGTTAATATCAAGCATATATAATTTGGTTAATGTAGCATCAACCTTCAATCTTCTCTGGTTCTTTTGTTTATAAGTTTTTATAAACAAAGGTAAAATTGATGCATTTACTCAAGTTTAGTTTTAAAAGTGATTATTATTGGTTAATGATTCATAACATGTATATACAAACTAACATTAGTAACAATAGCAACTGATGATAATCCTTTCAAAATAGATTGCCAAGCTCCTGCAAAAAAAGAAAAAAAAGATGTATTAAAACCTTGGTGAATCATGGTACGCATGCCTTAAAATTTGAAATAATAAAATGTCATCTATAAAACAAAAAATTATGATAAAAATTAAACCTGGCCAGTTGTTATGGTGCTCTACCTCAGCCCTTACAAAGCTGAACAAATCACACAGATGGTGCCAGAATAGATATATATGGAAACATGATGTTTACAGACATAAAAGTTACTTCTAATGTTTTACAACAACGATTTACTTTGTATTTTTCTTACACCAAGTTTGACTGACCTGATAAACACTGGAACTTTTTAACATAAAATTTCCATACTTCATCATTGCATTGTACAGTGTATCTATTTTATTTTCACTAATGTACTTTCTGAGAAATTCAGAAGTAGTTTGTAATAGATATCTTATCAAACTTCCTATTATTCAGTGGACCCATTCCACTGTTCTAAATAAAATAGGTTTTACCTGAGAATACTACAAAATAATATGGGATTTCAATTTCAATAAAAATTTGTATCTGTATTTTTCATTCAAAAAATGACTATACTGATATCTTGTGAAAAAAAGGTTTAGAAAAGTTTTCATTTTCATTTTCTAATAGTATTGTTTGTTAAAACATAAATAATTAAATCTACTAGAAAGTTATATCCACCCTCAGGAAGAGAAGGCTACAAGAAGCAATACCATTTAGGATGAAACTGTGTGTGTGTGTGTTTGGAGTATTGTTATGGATTCTGTAAAGTGCAATTGTAATATGTATTGTAGCTTTATAGCTCACACAGTGAAACTGGTAATTTATTGGCATCTCTGGTTATAGATCTGTAGTATGCTTACCTCTGATAGTGATTACTTCCTTAGATGCAAGTTTACTCAAAAATGCATATTATACATAATGGTTGACTAATACTCGCCTTTGACTTCAGCACGAATTGTACATTTTGTGGTGATAAGTGCTTGTCTAAAGATCCTAAAAATCCAAACATAGGTAAAGTGGCATATAGTTTATGATGAAAGATGAGATTATCTGACATCAATATTTTAAGCAAGGCCTTGCTGTCATTCTTCTCTTTCTAATTTCCTTCTTTGCATCTTTCCTCATAAAAAGCATCTTTTTCAAACCCTTGTTGGAAAGAATGCCTTGCTTATATGATACGGTACTCAGTGCTTTCAATTCCATTTCAGTGTACTGAAAAACATTCTATTACAATTTCCTTCTGGCATGTGAAGTAATAAATATTAGGTCATCAAGAAATTAATGTAGCTGTTTTTAGATGAAAAAACCCGAACAACTTATATATCAAAACAAAACATTTATTAAATGAAATAGTCTCCATTCTTATCGATGATGTTTTTCCATCCTACAATCAGGTTGTTAATGCACTGATTGAAGAAATCACTTGGGTTTGAAGCAAAAAAACATGTCAATGTCCTCTTTAACACCTTCCACATTTGCATACGTTTTTCCATTAAGATGGTGTTGCAGCGAACGAAAATGATGGTAATCTGATGGTGCCATATCTGGAGAATATGGTGGGTTGGGGAGAACTTCCCAACCCAACTCCATAATCTTGCGTTGCGTCAAACGTGCCACATGTGGACATGCATTGTTGTGGAGAAAAAGAACACCTTTCCAATTGACGAGTGAAGGGAGTTTCTGATGAAGGGCTTGATTTAAACATTTCAGTTGCTGACTATAGATCTCTGTGGATTGAGGAGTTGGAAATGAATTACTCCTCTGATGTCCCACCAAATGCAAATAATCACTTTCTGAGGCTGGAGTCCAGGTTTTGGGGTCGGACATGGTTTTTGTCTAGAACTGAGCCATTGTTTTTGGCATTTAATATTTGCATAGAGAATCCATTTTTCATCACTGGTGACAATTCTGTCTAAAAATGGTTCACTTGCATTATGCGCCAGAAGAGATGAAGCAACGTTCACATGTTGGAAATGATGATCATTGGAGAGTTCCTGAGGCACCCAAGCACCTTCTTTATGGAGTTTTCCAATATTCCTTAGATGTTTATGAATTGTTTCATGAGAGATATGCAATTTCTGGACCATTTCACGAGTGTGTTGCCTTGGGTTAGACTCAACAAGCGTCTTCAGAGCATCAATATCAATTTCCACATATTGGCCCCTGCCATCACAGTTTTTAAAGCTAAAGTCACCTGAATGAAATTTGCTGAACCATCGTTGACACTTACAAACGTTCAAAACATTTCCATAAACTTATTTGATATTTTTTGTGGCTACAAAGGTGTTGTTTCCCTTCTTGTATTTGAACAGCATTACATGCAGAATGTGTGTCTCATTGTGTGCCATCACTATAAGGAATTAGAGTATACTAAACTTTACACATTATATAGGCTACACTAACATGACATTTAGGTGGGTTTGTTTAACTATTATACGTGATGTACGTTTTTTGGGGGTTGGTTAATCAATGTGTTCCAAAACACAACATTAATTTCTTGATGACCTAATATTTGGGCTCAATTTCATTGTTTGATATTTTGAAGATTAGCTTGACCAGCTAACAAGAATGTTTTTAACCCATTTATAGCTCAGTAAGAAATCTGGTTAGATTAAAGTAGTTTTCCTACATTCTATTTTTTGTGCATGGTAATGATTTATGTTCCAAGTTGCATATTTCATATAAATGAAAAACATTTTGTTCAACACAAATTTCACTATAAAAAAAATTTGGGTTATGGTTCTTCGGTCTTCCATAGAGTAAAAAACAAGAACCACATGTACTTACTAAATTTCTTGTTCTCTAATGTATACCATATTTATTGTAATAAAAGTAAATAAAGTGTAAAAATTGGAAATTTATTACAACAGATAACCTAAATGGAAAAATTAGAAGAAACATTTTTTTCCACAAGGAATGCTTGCATGCTACTGTTTGTCATGTAATTCAATACCTTGTTTACTATAACTTGCATTAAGCTCTCCCCAGATAACTTATTGTTTTGTTACACTAGTTAGACACAGTTCAAAGAGCAATAAAACAAAAAGTTAATAAAAACAGATGCAAACTGCTACAAGCCTGATAATACGCAGTCATTCTAGAAAGAAAACATGGTAATTTAGATTTCATATTTTCCAACTTACTCTACATCGTTTAATTTGCTATTTAGGGTTGGGTAGAGAAAATTACAGATAAAATAGAGTTTGATGAAAAAAAAAAACAACTTCATATTCATTAGAAAGTTTCAGAGATCTGGAAATTAAGTATGAAATAAGTAAAATAAAAAAGTATTTTCATTCTTAAAATGGAGTACATTCAGACAAATCTTTAGTAAAAATACCTTATTAAAAATTCAGATTTTCGTGTACAACATACTAGTAATGTTAACTAAAAGCTTACCAAATTTCATGAAAATACAAGTACTAAATTTGGAATTATAGCAGGGCTTGATTTTTAGGTTGTCAAAAAAAAAAAAATAAATAAAAAAGAAGAAGAAGAAGGAAAAAAGATCCAATTTCAACAATATTGATGTACAAGGACCCTAAAAGAGACCCAATTACTAGGATTTTGATGTTTTTGTTTCTTATATCCAAACAGTACAGTTAACGTTTAGTTGTCAGTTTTGCATCTTTAAATGACTAAGTTTAATGCCCTATTTCCTGGGAATTTTCTTATATTGGAAAAAATAAGCCCAAACCATGCTTATGTTACAAAGTATCTTTAATATTCACATAGAGAATCCATGTGCATTACGCGCCAGAAGAGCTGAAGCAACATTAACACGTTGGAAAACGATGATCATCGGAGAGTTCATGAGGCACCCAAATACCTTCTTTATAAAGTTTTCCCATATTCCTTATATGTTTATGCATTGTTTCATGAGAGACATGCAATTTCAGGGCCATTTTATGAG